AATGGCACGGAGGGGCCGTTCGTGCTGCATAAGACGTTCGTCGTCCCCCTGGATGGTATGGACGAGCTAAACATGAACTAGACACGATGGCGCTGAGGGGACGATCGTGCTGCATAAGATGGTAGTCGTCACTCTGGAAGGTATGGACGAGCCTGACCATGAACTGGGTATGACGGCGCTGAGGGGCCGATCATACTGCATAAGACGGTGGTCCCCATCCTAGAAGTAATGGGTGAGCCGACCGTGAACCGGACACGATGGCGCTGAGGAGCCGATCGTGCTGCATAAGACGGTGGTCCCCATCCTGGAAGGAATGGGTGAGCCGACCATGAACTGGACATGATGGCGCTGAGGAGCCGATCGTGCTGCATAAGACGGTGGTCACCATCCTAGAAGGAATGGGTGAGCCGACCGTGAACTGGATACGATGGTGCTGAGGGGCCGATCATGCTGCATAAGACGATCGCCGTCCCCTGGATGGTATGGACGAGCTAAACATGAACTAGACACGATGGCGCTGAGGAGCCGATCGTGCTGCATGAGACGGTGGTCACCATCCTGGAAGGAATGGGTGAGCCGACCTTGAACTGGATACGATGGCGCTGAGGGGCCGATCGTACTGCATAAGACGATGGTCGCCATCCTGGAAGGAATGTACGAGCCGACCGTGAACTGGACATGATGGCGCTGAGGAGCGGATCGTGCTGCATAAGACGGTGGTCACCATCCTGGAAGGAATGGGTGAGCCGACCGTGAATTGGATACGATGGCGCTGAGAGGCCGATCGTGGTGCATAAGACGGTCGTCGTCCCCCTGGATGGTATGGACGAGCTAAACATGAACTAGACACGATGGCGCTGAGGAGCCGATCGTGCTGCATAAGACGGTGGTCACCATCCTGGAAGGAATGGGTGATCCGACCATGAACTGGATACGATGGCGCTGAGGGGCCGATCGTACTGCATAAGACGGTGGTCGCCATCCTGGAAGGAATGTACGAGCCGACCGTGAACTAGACACGATGGTGCTGAGGGGCCGGTCGTGTTGCATAGGATAGTGGTTCTCATCTACTCTTCGTATTTGCCCTTTAGCCCGGTCCTTTGGATCCTTAGCTGAGCTAAGACCTCGTACTTTGTGTGGAACGGTTTTGATCCCTTTGGGAATTCTTTTGTTTCGTCTGTTATCCGCTCATCGTACCCGTTCGTTCTCTCTCTCTTTTTGGTTCTTCTGGGGTGGGGATGCTCGTCTTCAGGCCCTCGGCTTCTGGAGTGAAAATGTTCATCTCCATGCCCTCGTACTTTGTGTGGGACGATTTTGATACCTTTGGGGATTCTTTTGTTTGATCCATCTTGGGATTCTTTTATTTGATCCATCTTGGGATTCTTTTATCTCTTTGTTTCATCACCCGCTCCTCGTCGTACCCGCTCGTCTAGCCCGGTCCTTTGGACCCTGAGCCAAGCGTAGCCAACGTAGTCAGTGAAGGAACGGCCTTTCCCCCTTCTCCGGGGATTTCTCTCTTTCTTCTTTTTGTGATCCTTCTCTAGATTCTTTTATTTGATCCTTCTTTGGATTCTTTTATCTCTTCATTCCATCACCCGCTCCTCATCGTACCCGCTCGTCTAGCCCGGTTCTTTGGACCCTGAGCCGAGCGTAGCCAACGTAGTCAGTGAAGGAACGGCCTTTCCCCCTTCTCCAGGGATTTCTCTCTTTCTTCTTTTTGTGATCCTTCTCTAGATTCTTTTATTTGATCCTTCTTTTGATTCTTTTATCTCTTCATTCCATCACCCGCTCCTCGTCGTACCCGCTCGTCTAGCCCGGTCCTTTGGACCCTGAGCCGAGCGTAGCCAACGTAGTCAGTGAAGGAACGGCCTTTCCCTCTTCTCCGGGGATTTCTCTCCTTGTGTGATCCTCCTTCTCTGGATTCTTTTGTTTGATCTTTCTTTGGATTCTTTTATCTGATCCTTCTCTGGATTCTTTTATCTGATCCTTCTTTGGATTCTTTTATCTCTTCCTTCTCTGGATTCTTTTATCTCATCCTTCTTTGGATTCTTTTATCTCTTCCTTCTCTGGATTCTTTTATCTGATCCTTCTCTGGATTTTTTTATCTGATCCTTCTTTGGATTCTTTTATCTCTTCCTTCTCTGGATTCTTTTATCTGATCCTTCTCTGGATTTTTTTATCTGATCCTTCTTTGGATTCTTTTATCTCTTCGTTCCATCACCCGCTCCTCGTCGTACCCGCTCATCTAGCCCGATCCTTTGGATCCTGAGCCGAACGTAGCCAACGTAGTCGGTGAGGAACGGCCTTTCCCCCTTCTCCGGGGATTTCTCTCCCTGTGTGACCCTCCTTCTCTTGATTCTTTTGTTTGATCCTTCTTTGGATTCTTTTATCCGATCCTTCTCTGGATTCTTTTATCTGATCCTTCTTTGGATTCTTTTATCTCTTCGTTCCATCACCTGCTCCTCGTCGTACCCGCTTGTCTAGCCCGATCCTTTGGATCCTGAGCCGAACGTAGCCAACGTAGTCGGTGAGGAACGACCTTCTCTCCTTTAGGGATTCCCCAATGCCCCTCTAATTTTTTTAGGGGTCTTTGAATATGATGATGGCACCGTACCAGGGGGTCGATGGCCATGAGATGAAGTCGGCGCTAGGAGCCGATCTGAAATAATCAACGGTCCTCATCCACGAGGAGCGGGGACGAGACCGGTCTTCAAATATGCTGATGGCACCGTACCAGGGGGTCGGTGGACATGAAATGATGTCGGCGCTGGGGGCCGATTTGAAATAATCAATGGTCCTCATCCGCGAGGAGCGGGGACGAGGCCGGTCTTCAAATATGATTATGGCACCGTACCAGGGGGTCGGTGGCCATGTAATGACGTCGGCGCTGGGAGCCGATATGAAATAATCAACGGTCCTCATCCGCGAGGAGCGGGGACGAGGCCGGTCTTCAAACATGATGATGGCACCGTACCAGGGGGTCGGTGGCCATGAAATGATGTCGACACTAGGGGCCGATCTGAAATTATCAACGGTCCTCATCCGCGAGGAGCGGGGACGAGGCCGGTCTTCAAATATGATGATGGCACCGTACTAGGGGGTCGGTGGCCATGAAATGATGTCGGCGCTGGGAGCCGATTTCTGAGCTGGATGGAATCTTTGTTCCTTCATCCGTTCGCTTACTTGCCCATTTGGCCCGGTCCTTTGGATCCTGAGCTGGGCTCGGCCGCGATTGTGATGAGGAACGAGTTTATCCCCTTTGGGGATTCCCCAGTGCCCCTCTGTTTTTTTTGAGGGGTCTTTGAATATGATGATGGCACCGTACCAGGGGGTCGATGGCCATGAGATGAAGTCGGCGCTGGGAGCCGATCTGAAATAATCAACGGTCCTCATCCGCGAGGAGCGGGGACGAGGCCGGTCTTCAAATGTGATGATGGCACCGTACCAGGGGGTCGGTGGCCATGCGAGGGGATCGACCTGAGGGCCGATCAGAAAGAAACCAGCAACGATCCTCTTCCGCGAGGAGCGGGGCGAGGCCGATCTTCAGATATGGATAGCATGCCGAGCCGAGAGGCTGGTCTTGGTATACGTACGCCGGCCATGAGGGGCCGATCAAGTGTATCCATGCAACGGCTCTCATCTGCGCAGTGCGGGGATGATGCCGGTCTTCGAAGTGTAAACACGCCGTTCCGTGAGGTCGGTCGTGATGTAAGGATGGTCCCATGGCCTTCGGCCGCGATGGTCTCCTCTAGGCCATCGGCTCCTGGGTGGAGATGTTTGTCTTACGGTCATTGTCCGCGATGGTCTCCTCCCGGCCTCGGCCTCTTGGGGAAGTATGAACATCTCGCGGCCCTTTTCTTTAGCCGGTTTGGAACATCTTCGGAACTCATGTCGAGCGTCATTTAATCTTCTGCTTGGGCGCATTGAGCGACCTTGACTGCATAATCAGCATGGTAACGGGCCGCTCGGCCCGACAATATATATTCACGTATAGCCATCTGTGTGGCTTTATTCTTTTTTCAACGCTCGCGATTGTCGGCCTATGGGTTATTGTGACCCTCGGCCCGGCTCATCGTGCGGGGTTACGGCCGTCCGGGGCAGGACCACTTAGTGGCTTGCCGAAAGTCGCATAGAAAAATCACTGGTCTGTGAGTTTGAAAACTCAGACCCACGTTGCCGCTCTGCCCTCGGAAAAATGAGCTTGAGCATCTTTGGTGCCCTCGGGCCCCATAGGCCGCGTTTGGCAACAGTCACTTTGCGCTTAGTGGCACAGATGGTATTAGGGCACGATCGTCGATCAAGCACTTGGTGTCGTGCAGACTAATGTGCAACCCCTAAATTAAAATGTGTCATCGGGGCAATGCCCTTTGGAGACGCTCGGATCGCTTAATCAAGCCGATTGAGGGTGGGTCAACGGGCCCACCACAAGTTAAATATTTAATAAAGCATTGGCTTGACCGACCATCACTAGAGCTTCGCTCCACATTATTTAACTCGGGACATTTTTATCCCTTGCAAAGAATAGTGATATGAGGGGTAGTATTAATTCTACTTATCCTACTATAGGCCATTCAAATACGCTCCGATCACTTATTAAAGCCGGTCGGGGTGGGCCCACATGCCTGCCCTTGCGGTCACTTAATTAAAATGACAGTGCACATGTATCACTAGAGCTTTGTCCGACAGTATTTAATTTCGGGATATTTCCGTCCCTATTAAATAATGGTGATAAAATATAATAGCAATAGTAAAAATATTATTCTAATTAACACTGTAATTAGTAAATGATCAGGAGTTTATGTGATACTTAGGATGTTTTTACTTGGATTATAATTTGCTGGTCTGGTCTGGTCTGGTCTGGTCTCTTTGTATTTTTATAATTATCCAAGTCTGGTCTGGTCTGGTCTGAACTAGTCTGATCTGGTCTGATCTGGTCTGGTAAAAACATACTTAATTCTTGGGCACCGCATTTGTCTCGTATACTCCAAGTGGGCAAGTGGCAGCAATTACTTTGACCAGGTTGGACACACATCTTGTTGCTACAGTCTCCCATCACATTGGGACAGGCAGGCAACTCCACCCTGCGACCAAGAGAGCAGCCATAGGCTACTGTGCCAATCCGGTCCACAGTAGCAGGGTAGCCGAGAGTAGCAGAGTGAAATGGCGCAGAGCTGAGGGGCCGGTGGACACACTCGCGGCCAACCAACGGCGGTACCGGAGAGGGCGGTCTGCGAGCACCCCGAACGGCGGTTCTGGGAGATCGGTACCATGTAGAAATCAGCAAATACCTCCTGCTGTGATGTCGGCGTCAAGTTGAGGGGTCGTGTGTTCCTTTGAAGGTGAGCTGTGGGCAGCCATTAATGGCGGACCACTAGAAGCTCTGTCTGAACGTGAGGATGACCAGAGACCATTCGATGGCCACGGCATCCCCTCCTGGAGCAGCGACGTCGATCTCAGCTCTCTGCGGCTGGCCTGCCGCGGCTCTGCGGCAGCAAGGTCTTGAGCGGAAAGGCGAATTCCAGCGAGCAAGAAGCATCAGCTAATGGCCCACGGCGGCGGCGTGGTTGCCGACGGAGCTCCGGCGGATCCAGATCCGGATATTCCCAGCTCCGAAATTCATATTAATGTCATTTTTCTTCCTCTTTTTTGTTGAAATCAGTCCACCTTGTATCATTTTTTTGTTGCTGTTCTTGTTGTAGGTCAAGAATAGTAGAATACACGAATCTTTTAGAACAGGTTCCCACATACGGCGTCCGTGTTGAGTTTAATTCGCCACAGTCCGCAAGTTCAACACCCCTTACGGGAGGGTTTCATGATTATGGGGTGGTAATAAAATATAAACAATGATTTTTACGTGGAAACCCAGAAAGAAGAAAACCACGGGAGTGTTTAGACTAATGTCCAAGCCCGCTCTTTTTAATACTGCTCTCCTCACCAATACATTATATAAGCTCCATTAATGGAGGATTCAAGCTAACTATAGAGAAGGAGAAAGAAGAGAGGATCCTTAATAAGGAAGAGAATCCTCCTATTTATAGAGGAAAGGGGGACGGGTGCTCCACCCTAACGGACCGAGTGGGCCGAAACGGGCCTCTTGGGCCTAGGTGGGCCAAATGGACAGAAATGGGCCCAAAGGCCGAAATAGGCCTGATAGGCCAAATGGGCCACGATGGACCGAATGGGCTGATATAGGCCCGATGGGCTTAAACGGACCTCACTGATCGGGCTCCGTACTACGTAAAGTCTTGGGCTCCTGAACAATAATAGGTCGGGATGATATATCCCAACAATATCAAAATGTTCCTTATTCAAAATATCTTCATAAAAGTATAAAATTTATAAATTATGCTCCCTCCGTATTTAAAAGATCACTACATTAGGCATTGACACAATATTTAAGGAATAAATAGTAGGAGTAATGAATAATGTAGAAAAATTAGGAGAAATTGTAGAAAAGTAGGAAAGCGAGAAAATAAAAAGTAGAACAAGACTAATTGAGTATTTTTTAAAGGAAAAAATTATCAAAAAGAGAAAGTGTAACAAACTTTTAAGTACATCCCAAAAAGAAGTGTAGCAAACTTTTAAATACGAATGAAGTATACAAATATAATAATTAAAATTATTATTCAAAGTTTACCATAATTGACCACGAAAAGTCAATATGGTGAACCTTGTTGAGGGTAAATCTCGTAGATCTGAAAGCCCAACACGAACTTTGGATATATCAGGAATGACACAGAATCAAGGTGTGTAACAAATATAAGATCTGAACTAACTAACACTCGAAAGCTCACTTGTATTAATTAACCAATCTGATGACAAGGAATTTCCCGATCGGTAGGTCGGAAACTATGATTTAATACAAGAAATAAGAGCAATGATGCTATTCTAGAGCCTGAGTATTGAAATGCTAACCCTTACAATGACTTGAAACCTTCTATTTATACTAATGGAGAGCATGGGCTGTCCCATGCTGATTGGCCGTTGTTCCACCGACTTGGTCATCCATGCTTCCACTTGCTGATGTCACAGGCTGGCATTAATTGCACCTGGCCACTTGCTGATTGGCCGTTGCTCGAACGGGATATCGGGCTGTACTGAAGATACTGTCAAATTGGCCCAAGTATGATATATAGTCCGAACTCCGTTCGGTATGTCTTCTGACTGGGTCAACCTTTGTTTGGGCCGAACTCCGTTCGGCATCTCTTCTTACTGGATCTATTCATCATGGAGTGATGGGCCCGTTGCTTGGGCCGGATATCTTGGGCCTTCCCGATCTGGGTATTGGGCCTCTAGGTCAATATCCCAACACAAGTCCCCCACTTCCGATGTCTCGAACGATAGCGAGTGCATTAGGAAGTATATCAATGTTATAATACCCCGAATGGCGATCGGGGTACAGAAGTAATCAGTTCCCCATGTTGTGATTTGACGGCTGCCGCTTCATTTCCCCATATTCATCATGATAACCGTCGTTTAGTCTTTTCGTTTAAACACGTGTTTAGCTTAAATGCTCCTTGTGACGTGTCGCTCTCTGATTGGTTCTTGACACGGCGGTTTCAAGGCTATAAATTAGACTTTAACTTCTCAATTCCGGGTTTCGATTCTGCAATTCTCTGCGCCTTGTTGATTTCTCTGCAATTCTCTCCCAGCTTCCATCGCTCAGGTAACTTCTCAAATCCGGATCCCCTATCTTCATTTCTGGCTCGACCGAGATGAGCCCCAAAGAGCATTCCTCTGATTCGGAGATGGCCTCCCATGGAGATGACCGTGACGTCGCCATTGTGGACGTCATCACAGTCCCGTTTGCCGGTGGTTCTACTGAAACGGCGACGAATACCAGGGCTGAGGCGGAGGACCTCCCTAGCACTTCTTCTTCCTCCAGTGAAGATTCCGACGACACCAAATCCGAGGACGAAATAGCCTCCATGGCAGCCGGACGTCCCAACGATTTTCCTCGCCATACCCTTGACCTAAAATTGATTAGGGAGAGGCGGCAAAAACTGACCTCCCATAATAGGGCCGAAATTCCGGCCCTTATCCCTGACCCGGTGGATTTCCGTTTGCAAGCTGGGCTTCACCCAATGCGTCATAGGCCCGGAATGACCATAGTTCACTTTGACTCAATTAGGGCCGGCCTTAGGTTTCCGCTACACCCCTTTTACATTTCTTTCTTCAATTTCTACGAAGTTGTACCGGCCCAAATTATGCCGAACTCCTATCGGGCAATGGCGGGTTTTATCTGCCGTTGCAAAGATGCCGGCGCCCGACCAACCCTAGAACTCTTTCACCAATTTTTCAAGGTAGCCCCCCAACAAACCCACAGCTATCTGGCCACTAGTGCCCGAACGGGACACATTCTGTTCAAGGGAAACCCAACTTCAATCAAAGGGTGGAAAGACCGGTTTTTCTTCGTGTCTGTCCCGGACGGCCTAATTCCTCGCAAATGGAATGCCTTCCCCCGCAAGACTCCTGATCCTGTCCTTACTGAAGAAATTTACAAGGATGTGCTTGCTGTGGAGAAGGATAAATGCATGGACATCATGAGTTATCTGACTCCCGAACGACTTATTACAGCAAGGATAGGTACTGCCCGTTCTCTTGGGTTTACTTGTTTTGAGAAACCAAGTGCCATGTTCCGGGCGGTCCTTCCCGTGCGAGAAACGTTCTTTTGTTCTTTTTCTAGTTTCTCACACGCTAAGGCCACTCGATACTAACATTGTCCTTTGTCTTTTTTCAGCACCAAACCCAGATCTACCCATGGATGACAACAGAGTTATCGCAGCCGGTGGGGCCGGTAAACGGAAAAAATCCAGGAAGAACCCCCAACCTACTCCCTCCATTATTCCTGCTCAGGATGCTGCCTCTTCTCAACCGCTTCCAGAGCCTCAGCCAATACAGCAGGTCCATCAGGACCAATTCAAGGCTATGTTGGTCGACGATCGGTTCGGCTCTAACCAACTGCATCAATTCTCCCAGCACTTTGACTCCGTTCGGGGGGAACCCTCGAATGCAGGTGAGACCCATACCGACCATATTACCGGTCAAGTCGAGCGGATCTCCTTATCTGATCCTGTCCATGAGGTATTAGAAAGGGCCGGTTCTACCGCTAGCCAGATCTGGTCGACCTCCTCTTGGTTCAACAACTTTTCCCTTCCTCAGTTGCCGGTCGAGCAATCTGAAGAATGTGTAGCCTTGACCGCTCTGAAGGTACATTATCTTTTGCGCTTTGTTTTTATTCTACTCTGTGATCAGTACTAACTCTCGAACGGTGCTCTGTAGATGGGTTTGTACACCCTTCAAATGCGGGAAGCCCGTCTGGCCAAGGAACGAGAACTGATTGTCTCCCAGTCTTCTGCTGAGCAACATGCTGCTGCCGCCATCGCCTCTCTGGAGGCCGAACGGAAGGCCTTTGCGGAGGAGAAGCAGAGGCTGGATGCTGAGCTCGGTACCCTTCGGGTCCAACTTGCAGCTTCCCAGGCAAAGGTCCTTGCTGCTGAGGCCGCACAGGTCAAGTTCGAAGAAATGCCATCCAGCATCCCGGACGGTCCCTATGAAGTAAACGTGGATCTGTCCGCCGTCCGGGAAACGTTTAAATCCTCTGATGAATTCTCCATCATCAAGGATGATTATGCAAGGACCCAAATCCCATTCGCCTTTGGGGCGTACTTGAAGGGTTTCCCCAAAGGTGCTGGTCAGCTATCGGCAGGGGTGGCCCTCTTGGACAAGGATCCCGAGGCCAAAAAATGGAACGACTCCATTGTTTCAGATCTATATGGCAAAATTGGCCAGGTCCTGCTGCGTCCCTTCGTTGCTCAGCTTCAAAATAATCTGGGGAGGCCGGTTCAGGCTTCTGATCTTCCCAAAGATGATATTATACAGGCGCAGTTCGAGAAATTTCTGCGAGCCCAGCAACGGGAAGCTGATCGGGCTGCTGGGAGAGAGCCTGAACCCCCGTCTGATGATGACGAGGACGAGGATGAAGAGGGAGATGAAATGGCCCCTGGCCAATAATTTATATGTACTTTTTAATTACTTGTTGTAATTTCCTTTCTCTAAGTAGCTTGTACTTCCCGGTCAGTAGAACCGATGAATATATATCCCTTTTTTGCATGAAGCTTCGTATACCGTCTTTTCTATCTTTATTGCATGATTTACTCGCCATTCGGGATTCGGCCCGTTTTTTAGGACTTAACCAATTTCCTGACTTTATTCCTTGCTCAAATACTCCTAATGCCGTTGATCGCCGTTCGGGCATTAAAAAAGTTCTGATAATTTATTAAGGAAAAAACCGCTTCTCTCTGGGACTCAGCCGTTCGGGCTTCAGACCATTCTTTAGGACTTAGCACATTCTGGCTTTAGATAATCTTTTACAACGTTGATAGCCGGTCGAGCTTCAGATCAATTCTTGGTTTTCTTCGCACCTGGGCTTCTTCATAAGTTGGTAGCCGTTCGGGCTTCAGACCAATTTTTAGGACTTAGCCTTTGATTTCAGATAACCTTTTACAACATTGATAGCCGGTCGGGCTTCAGGTTACTTTTTAGGACTTAGCAGTTTTTCTAAACAGCAAATCCCTGTGATCTTTGCTAATCCTCTGTAAGCCCGTCCGGGGTACGTGCACAAAAAATGAACCATAAATGCCTCAGATTAATCGTAACCACCCTATGCCACGTGTTGCTCATGGATTAGGGACTTGTGCGGCACTTTCCCTATTTATAGAGAGGTGCTTCCCCTAATTTCTCCTGCTGTTTTCCCATTTTTCTTTCGAGCTTTCTCTCTCTAAAATTCCCAGAATTCTCTTGCATACTCTCAAGCCTTCTCTCTCTAGAATTCCCAGAGTTCCTCCAGCGTTTTTATGTACTACCCCTCTAGCTCAGAATCTGAAGAGATGCCTCTGATTTGCACAAGCAAAACATCTGCTGGTAACAAGGCCGAAGGCTCTTCGTCCCAAACACCTAAACCCGCCAATCCTCAGGCCAGCAAACATA